AGTCCATGTTCAAACGCAACAAGCTTCAATCAATATCCAGCGATAAGTATGGAGCTGGAGGAACACAGCAGGCCAGGCAGCAACAGAGGAGCGGGAACATTGACGTTTCAGGTTGGGACCCTTCAGAAATTTTCAGAGGTTTTCTGAAGAAGGGTCCTGACCCAAAACATCAACCTTCTTGCTCCTCTCATGCTGCCTGACCTGCTGTGTTCTTCCAGCTCCACACTGTGTTATCTCTACTCCAGCATCTGCAGTTCTTACTATCTCTGGACAGTATCCAGGCTCGAGCTGTCTCAGAAATTCCAGGCTGTGACCGTCACCAATAAGAGACAATCTAACCACTGCCCCTTAACGTTCAATCGTGTTACCATCACTGAATCCCTCACTACCAACATCCTGGGAGCTACCATTGACCAGAAATTCGACTGGACTCACCAAATAAACACAGTGGCTACAAGAGCAGGACAGAGGCTAAGAATACTGCAGCGAGTAATTCACCTCCTGACTCCCCAAAGCCTGTCCACCATCTACAGGGCACAAGTCAGGAGTGTGATGGAATATTTCCCAATTGCCTGGATGAATGCAGCCCCAACAACACTAAAGAAGCTTGACACCATCCAGAACAAAGCAGCCCACGTGATTGGTACTACATCCACAAACATCCACTCCCTCCACCACCGACGCCCAATAGCAGCAGTGCCTGCCATTTACAAGATGCACTGCAGAAATTCACCAAAGATCCTCAGACAGCAACTTCCAAACCCACGACCACTTCCATCTAGAAGGACAAAAGCAGTAGATACATGGGATCGCCACCACCTCCAAGTTCCCCTCCAAGCCACCCACCATCCTGGCTTGAAAATATATCACTGTTCCTTCACTGTCACCGGGTCAAAATCCTGGAATTCCCTTTCTATTGGCATTGTGAGTCAACCCACAGCAGGAGGACTACAGCGGTTCAAGAAGGCAGCTCATCATCACTTTCTCAAGGTCACCTTGGGAAAGGCAATAAATGCTGGCCAGCCAGCAGCACCTATGTTTCACAAATGAATAAATTTAAAAGACTGGATTTAACCCTGATAAGTGTGAGGTTTTTTTTTTAAATTTACTTATGGGACATGGGTGTCACTGGCTGGGCCAACATTTTATTACATGTTCCTATTATCTTTGAAAAGGTGATGGTGAGCTGCCTTCTTGAACCGCTGCAATCCACATTCTGTATGTATATTCACAATGCCATTAGGGAATAAATTCGAGATGATGCACTTTGGAAGAAGGAACAACACAAGGGAGTACTCGATGAATGACAGAACACTAGGAAGCTCAGAGGAACAGAGGGATCTTGTGGTGTTTGACCACAAAGGTGGCTGGTCATGTTAACAGGGTAGTTAAGAAGGAATACTCTTGCCTTTATCAGTCATAGCATAGACTAAAAGTGCAGGGAGGTCATATTGGAGCTGTACACAACGTTGGTTTTCCACAGCTGGAATACTGTGTGCAGTTCTGGTTACCTTATGATAGGAAGGATGAGACTACACTGGAGAGGATGCAAAGGAGATTCGCCACTTAATTATTAGAATCATAGAATCCCTACTGTGTGGAAACAGGCCCTTCGGTCCAACAAGTCCACACCAACCCTCAAAGCATCCCACCCAGACCCATCCCCCTATAACCCACCTAATCTACACATCCCTGAACACTACGGGCAATTTAGCATGGCCAATCCACCTAACCTGTACATCTTTGGACTGTGGGAGGAAACCAGAGCACCCAGAAGAAATCCACACAAACACGGGGAGAATGTGCAAACTTTTTGAGGCTGGAATTGAATCCAGGTCCCTGGCGCTGGGAGGCAGCAGTGCTAACCACTGAGCCACCATGAACATGTAATAAAATGCTGGCCCAGCAGTGACACCCATGTCCCATAAGTAAATTTGAAAAATCCTCACACTTATCAGGGTTAAATCCAGTTTTTTAAATTATTCCCATATCAACTGGGGTTCAAGCCCAGGGGCATTGAGGGTGAACAATTCATATACCAAGTCTAGGGATTTTTTTTAAACAATACATGATAAGCCCAACGAGAGGAGACTCAATTCTGGATTTAGTTTTGAGAAATGAAGATGGCAAAGTGCTGAAGTGACAGTGTGGGTGACCATATAGGAGATAGTGACCATAGTTCATTTAGATTTAGTATTATTATGGAAAAGAACAGAGATAAATCAGGAGGAAAAGTTTTACACTGGGGAAGGCAAATTTTTTAAAACTGAGAAGTGCTTTGGCTGAGGTGGACTGGACAGGCCTGTTAAAGGATAAATCAGGGGTAAATAAGTGGCTAAAGGATAAATCAGTGGTAAACCAGTAGAAGGTGCTAAAAAGTGAGATCTTTAGGGCACAAAGCAGACATGGATCTTCCAAAATTAAGGACAGTACTCCCAAATCTAGACATCCATGATTACCTTGAAAAATACAAGGGAAAATTCAACAGATAACGAAAGCTTATGATAGTCACAAAAAACTCAACCCTTCAGATACCTGGGTGGAGTATGGAAAGTACAGGATCAAGTTAATAAAGAAATAAGGAAATCAAAGACAGAGCATGAAAAATTTTAGCAAGCAAGATCAAGGAAAAGCCAAAGATGTTTTACCGGCATATAAAGTGCAAAAAGATAGTTAAGGAAAAAGTGGAAACTATCAGGGATGAAGAAGGGAACTTGTGTGAAAATGCAGAGGATATGGTAAGAATTTTACATGATTTTTTCATCTCTGTATTCACAATGGAAAGTGATGATATGGATATAGTAATCCAAAAGAATCAGTGTGAAATGTTGGACAAAATAATTGTAATGAGAGAGGAAGTGTTCGAGGAGTTGTAATCCTCAGAAGTAGATAAGTCGCCAGGGCCGGATGGATTGTTCCCTGGGATGTTGAAGGAGGTCAGCGAGGAAATAGCAGATGCTCTGAGGATTATTTTCCAATCTTCACTAGACACAGGTGAGGTGCTGGGGGACTGGAGGAATGTAAATGTCCTTTCATTGTTTTAAAAGGTTACAAAGGAAATGCCAAACAAATATAGACCAGTTAGTTTTACTTGGGTGATGGCCAAATTGTCAGATTCAATCCTGAGAGATCAGATAAACTCTTAATTAGAAAGGCATGGACTAGTCAGGGATAATCAACATGGCTTTGTAAGGGAAGGTAATACCTTGCTAATCTGATTGAATTATTTGAGGAAGTATGGTGGATGTTGTCTATGTGGATTTTAGTAAGGCATTAAGTCCCACACGACCCACTGGACCAAAACATAAAAGCCCATGGGATACAGGGTAATGTGTCGAATTGGATCCAAAGTTAGCTTAGTTACAGGAAACAAAGGGTAATGGTCGATGGCTGCCCTTACCAATGGAAAGCTGTTTCGTATGATGTTCCTCAGGGCTCAGTGCTGGGACTCCTGCTGTTTATTTTATACATGAACGATTTGGACTTGAATGCAGGGAACACAATTGGGAAATTTGCAGAAGGCACCAAAATTGGCCGCGTAGTGGTTAGTGTAGAGGATAGCTGTAAGCTCCAAAATGATACAGATGGGTTAGTGGGGTGGGCAGGAAAGTGGCAGATGGAGTTTAACTGATAAGTGTGAGGTAATACTTTTAGGGAGGTCAGGCAGTAAAGGGGAATATGCAATAAATGGGAATACACTGAGAGGGGGAGATCTTGGTGTGCAAGTGCATAGGTCCCTAAGAGTGGAAGTACATGTAAATAAGGTTGTGAAAAAGGCATTAGGTAATGCTCTCTTTCCTTGGCAGAGGTATAGACTACAAATGTGGGGATATAATGATAAAATTGTATGTGATGCTGGTGAGGCCCTATCTGAAATATTGTCTGCAGTACTGGACACCAGATTACAGGAAGGATGTAATTGCTCTGGAGAGAGTGCAGAGACGATTTACAGGAATGTTGCCAGGGCTGGGGAATTGTAGTGATGAGGAGAGATTGGAGAAGATGGTGTTCTTTTCCTTGGAACAGAGAAGGTTGAGGAGCTACATGTTTGAGGTATACAAAACTGTGAGGGGTAGAGACAGAGTAGACAGGAGAAACCTGTTTCCCTTGGCAAAGAGTTCATAAACCAGAAGTCATAGATTGAAGCTAAGTGGAAGAAGGATTAGAGGGGATGTGAGGAAAAATGCTTTTATACAGAGGGCAGTGGGTGTCTGGAATTCACTGCCTGAGTTGTTGGTGGAGGCAGAGACCTTGAACTCTTTCAAAAAGTTCCTGGATCTGCACCTTAAGTGATGTAAGCTTTGGACCATGTGCAGGAAGATGGAATTAGAAAGAAGATCTAGGTGTCTTTGTGTTGGCATGGACAAGATCTACCAAATGGCTCCCTTCTGTGCTGTATTATTTTTATGGTTCTATGATTTATTTAGATTTAGTGTAGTTTTGGCAGGAGAGACTTAATTGGCCAAAAGCCCTCTTCTGTACTGCACAATTCTAGGAATCTGTGGAATTTGTTACCACAGAGGGCTGTCAAATCTGTGTGATTAAGTATATTCAAGGCTGAGATAGACCTATTTTTAATCAGTAAGGGAATCAAGGATTAGGGGATAAAGCAAGAAAGTGGAGTTGAGGATTATTGGATCAGCCATGACCTCATTGAACAGTGGTGTAGACTCAATAGGCTGAATGGCCTACTTCTACTCTGACATTTCAATGGTTTAGGCCAATGATCATTCATCAGCCTGAGGAAGGGTCACCAGACCCAAAACGTTAACTCTGTTTTCTCCTCCACAGATACTGCCAGACTTGCTGAGCTTTTCCAGCAACTTTGTTTTTATTCATCAAAACTGAGTATTTTCAGTAATTTGTGTTTTTATTTCACTGTTTCAACAACAGAAACATTCTGTTTTCATAAATGTACTTTGATTGTCAGGGAACCAGCACAAAATGATTGATTCTGTGATGAGAATATCATTATACCATGGCTCTAATATTTTACTGACCTTTACACTTAGAGAGGGCAGAATTGCCATTATGTTCATGGAATGCTGCAAGAATTCCCTGAAGGTTGGCTCACTGTGGTCAAGATGATGACCAAACAACACTTGGTACATTGCACTGTAGACAGACCAGCTGATATCCAAGCTGGGGTCAAAGGGCTGACCTGTAAAATGTGATAGTATAGTTAGCACCAGTTTGGAAGCTAGAAAAACACATGTAATAATAACTGCAGTGCTGACAGGTCACCTGAGTGAGATCTGAAACTGAATCTCAGTAAGCAGTTAAGAAAAGGAATGGAGTGATTGACTCTGACTTCCAGCATCTGCAGTTCTTGCTATCTCCTGGTATGATTGCTGGACTGTTAATCCAGAGATCCAGGTATTGTTCCAGTGGTAATGAACCCGGTTTCAAATCCCGCCATGTGGAATTTGAATTTGATTTTTTTTTAGAAGTCTGGGATTAATGGTTGTCAGATAAACCCAGCTGGTTCACTAATGTCCATTAGGGAAGGAAACTGCCATCTTTATCTGTTCTGGACTACATGTGACTCCAGACCCACAGCAATGTGGTTGACTGACTCTTAACTGCCCTCTGGGATGGTCAATAAATGCTGGCCTAGCCAGTGACACTCTCACTCAGTATCTACGTTCTGCTCGCAAAAAAGACCCTGAACTACCTGTTGCCTGCCACTTTAACGCACCACCCTGTTCCCTGGCCAACATCTCCGTCTCTGGCTTGCTGCAGTGTTCCAGTGAAGACCCATACAAGTTGGAAGAACAATACCTCATTTTCCACTTGGGGACCCTACAGCCCTCCGGACTCAGTATCGAGTTCAACACTTTTTGGGCCTGAACTCTCCCATGTCCTAGACCCCTACCCCACACACCAGGCTTTGTTATCACATAGTCTACCTATACACGCTACCTATTATTAGTCACTGACAGTCCCCATGAACAACTATTCACCCTCCCAACCTGATCGTTAGCAACTCCTTTGTCTGTCTAACTGTCTTTCTCTCTCTTTGGGCTCTATCCTATCATTTACTCCCTATCCCACCCACATCCCTATTTTCTGCATATAAACTAATGTTTTCCCAGCCACCATCAGTTCTGAAGAAGGGACACCGGACCCAAAACGTTAACTCTGTTTTCTCCTTCACAGATGCTGCCAGACCTGCTGAGCTTTTCCAGCAACTTTGTTTTTGTTCCTGATTTACAGCATCCGTAGTTCTTTCGGTTTTTATTTAGCTTTCTGGACATCACATGTTCCTTTTTATGGGCATGCCTTCTCTGCCTACTGGACTGCCTTCTATATTTGACTAGACCTTCATTCTGACTTTGCATATATTCTGTGTCCCACCCACGCCAAAATAGTTTACAGGTGTTGGATGTGAGATTTGTAAGACCAAAGAAAAAGGTAGGAGCACAAGTAGGCTATTCAGCCCATCGAGTCTGCTCTGCCATTCAATGAGATGATGGGCTGACCTGATAATTCTCAATTCAACTTTCTGTCTTTTCCCTATACCCTTTGATTTCCTTACTGATTAAAAACATGTCTATCTCGGCATTGACTGTACTTAACAACTCAATCTCGACAGTCCTTTGTGGTAAAGAGTTCCTTAGATTCGCTAGCTTCTGACAGAATAAATTCCTCCACATCTCTGTTTTAAATGGGCACCCCCTATTCTGAGATTGGCACAGATTTGTCATGGCACAGAAAGAGGTAATTTCACTCATCGTACCTGCACTAGCTCTTTAAATGAGTATCATTACCTAGTGCCAAGTTCCTGCTTTCCCCTAGACCCTTGCACATTATATGTATCCAAATAATCATTCAATGCCCTTTTGAATGCCTCAATTGAAACTGTTTTTACCATGTTTCCAGGCAGTGTATTTCACACCCAAACTGCTCACTGAATGCAAAGGCTTTTCTCTCACATTACCCTTGCTTCTTTTTCACATCAATTTAAATCTATGCCCTCTCATTCTTGTTTCTTTTATGAGCAAGAACAGCTTCTCTCTATTTATTCTACCAGCCTGCTCATGATTTTGAAAACCTCTATCATATCTCCTCTCAGCCTGCTTCTCTCTGGGGAGAACAGCCCCAATATCTTCAAAATCTCCTCATATCTGAAGTTTCTTATTCCTGGAACCATTCTTGTAAGTTGCTTCTGCACTCTCTCTGATACATTCATGTCTTTCCTATAATGCAGTGCTCATACCTGTACACAATATTCCAGATGAGGTCTAACAAGTGTGTTATACAAATTCAACATCACATCATTGCTCTTCTACTCTATGGCCCTATTAATAAAGCTGAGGACACTGTACAGTTTTTTTAACTGCACTCTCCATCTGTCCTTCCACTTTCACTGATCTGTTCACACGTACGCCCAGGTCCCTCTGCCCCTGCACCCACTTTAGAATTGTACCTTCTATTTTATTCTGTTTTTTAATGTTCTTCCTACTAAAGTGCATCATCTTACACTTCTCTGCATGAACCTCACCTATCACCTATCTGACCACCAACTTGTCAATGTCCTTTTGGAGTTCCACACTGTCCTCCTCATGGTTTACAATTCTTCCAAGTTTCATTGTCACCCTTTATCGTGGGAAACTAAGAAGATCAAAAGAGTAGTAAAATGTACCTGAGCTGTAGATACGGTGTTTTTATTGGCAAAGATGTTGGAATTAATTCTAAGAAGTTCAGTGTTACGTGGAGAATAAGTCACTATTGGATACACTCTATCAAATGTATCAGTCAAAAAAGACTGAGGGTTAATATTTCAATTTTAAAACAGATTATGGGGAATGGAGACATCTCAAAATTGAAATTGATAGATAACAGCTTAAGACCATAAGCAGAAGGAGCAGGAATTGGCCATTCGATCCATCTAGTCTGCTATGCTTTTCACTGAGATTATGGCTGAGCTGATCATCTTCAAATCTAGTTTCTTGCCTTCTCCCATCACCCTAACAGGGTAAAAATCTGTCTATCTCAGTCTTGACCATACTTAATAACACAACCTCCTACGCCTTCTGTGGAAAAGAATTCCACAGATTCACTAAATTTGGAGCTTGATAAACACAGCAGGTCAGACAGCATCTGAGGAGCACGGAAATCAATATTTCAGCCCAAAACATTGATTCCCAGCTTCTTGAATGCTGTCTGACCTGATGTGCTTTTCCAGCTCCAAGTTTATTGACTCTAGCTTCCAGCATCTGCAGTCCTTACTGTCTACAGATTCACTACCCTCTGACAGAATAAATTCCTCCTCATCTCTGTCTTAAATATGTAACTACTTATTCTGAGATTATGCCTCTGGTCCTAGATTCTCCTCCAAGGGGAAACAATCTTTCTACATCTACCCTACAAGTCCCTTAAGAGTACTATCTGTTTCAATAAGTTGCATCTCATTCTTCCAAATTTCAATGAATGTAAGCCTAACCTATTCAACAAAACCTCAACAATTGATTGATTGATTTATTGTCACGTATATTAAAGTACAGTGGAAAGATTTGTTTACGAGTGGTACAGGCAGATCACAGTAAGCAAGGACGTACAGATCAGAGGTTGTAAAAGGACTTAGGCAGAGGCATACAGGTTACATTGCACAGGGTGTACGCTAGGCGAGATCAATGTTAGCAAAATCAGCACTATTTGAGACGAGAGAATTCATTCATCTGTCTAATAACAGCCAGAACGAAATTGTTCCTGAACGTGCTGGTGCATGTATTCAGGCTTCTGTATCTTCTGCCTAACAGAAGAAGTTGTAGGAGATCATTACCGGCGTGCGTTGAGTCTTTGATGATGTTAGGATGATTACTCCATACCTGGGATCAGCCTAGTGAATCTTCTCTGGATTGCCTCCAATGCCACTGTACCTTTCCTTAGATAATTGGCTCAAATCTGTTCATAGTCCTCTGGCTGTGGTCTGACTAGTGCCTTGTATAGTCTTACAATACTTCCATATTTTTATACTCTATTCCATTTGCCTTCCCTATTACCTGCTAAATCTATATAGTAGCTTTTTGTGATCTATGAATGAGGAATCACAAATCTTCTGTGCTGTAGCTTACTTCACTCTTCCTACATTTAAATATTATTCAGCTCCTCTATTCTTCTTGCTAAATTCCATAACCTCGCATTTTCCCACATGATATTCCATTTGCCAAGTTTTTGCCCTGTCGCTAAACCTGTCAATATCCCTCTACAGACCCTTTGTATCATCCTCACCACTGGCCCTCCCATTGTTTTTGTATCATCTGCAAACTTGACAATGATACATTCAGTTTCCTCATTCAAGTTGTTATTATGTATTATGAGTTTCTGAGGCCCCAGTCTGATCCTAATGGCACTCCACTAGTTACAGGTTGCCATCCTGAAAATGATCCCTTATCCAAACTTTCTGTCTTCCATTAGTTACACCTCTGAATCTGAATGATAAGTTCTACTTCGTTACGGTGACTTTTTCCAATGGGATCCTTTACTCTGAAATCATTTATTAAACCTGCTTTGTTACACACCACTTTCCCAAATACACTATGAATTCTTCCTCATGTCTCCTTCTGCCAATCCGACTATCCTAAAGTACATGTAAATTAAATTCACTCATGATTAATGTACTGACTTATACATGCCCTGATTATAATTACAACGAGGTCAGCCAAGTGGACCTCTTAGAATATGAGTTCCCCGATTGGGATTGTTAATCTGGTCCAAGCAGGGAGCTCTGGCTGACAGATATAAACAGGAGTATCAGAGATCCTGTTCACTCTGAGAAGTAGCTCTGAGGGAGCTGGACCAGTGTCAAGGACTTTTCACGTGTAAATAAATGGTGACAAGATACTGGCCTCTGTGGAGTTATTTCACTCGCCTGATTAATTCTCTTTTCCCCCCCCATACAGCTATTGTCAGGGAGCCTATGGAATATTCCCACCAGTGTATTCTTCCCCTTTTTAATTTTCACCTCCACTGATATGGATTCTACATTTTCTAATCCAAGATCATTGTTTTGCTTTCATACTTATTCCATCCTGTACAAACAATGTTAGTCCACCACCCCACCCTTCCTACCTGTCCTTCTGGAAAATTGCAAACTCCAGAATATTTAGTTCCCAGCTTTGATCTTGTAATTATGTCTTCATATTGCTATAAGATCAC